TCATGGTTACAATTGCTTACCTTATTCATTAGCATTGATGTGAAAACTTGTATCAGACTTCCTTACAGGATTTTGAAAGTACAGCTCATGGGAAATATACATTAATTCTTTTACTCTCTGAAACTCTATTTTCTCATCTGTGAAGTGAGAATACACATGCATATATTATAGTTACATCTTCACTAGCTTGCTGAGATAAATCAAATGAAATGTGGGTAAAAAAGAGTTGTCAGATTTGGCTGTAGAAATACAAGATGCCACTTACATTTAGATTTCAGATAAATCTTGAATAATATTGAATAGGACATACTAATACTAAAAAATGATGCATGGTTTATCTAAAATTCAAATTTAAGAATCCCTTTAATCTGGCAACCAACCCCCTAGGATGTAAGCATCCTTCCTGATCTGCTGAAATCAGACAAATATAAGTTAGTCAGTACAATATTTAATGAAATTTTCATGTAATTATAACTCTTCAAGTCTTTCCAATAGCAAGCAGCCATACTGTCGGCTTCGATGGATCTTAAAAATCTGGGAGTAGCTCTGTCTCTTTCACGATGAGTATCTATAGCTTTCAGCTTGAGAAACTACAAACATGTTGAACATGTTGACTGCCAAAGTTGTGTCCCTAATATATTAGCAGTTAGCACTTTCAAAAAAAAAAAAAGCAACTATTCTGGGAGTGTGTGCTGGAGCAGGGCCCTTTCCGCGTGTCCTACCATCTGCTCGATTCTGTCCATCTGCATCCATCTCCTCCTCCCTTTTTGAGAAGGTGAGCTGTGACTGACAGGAAGTGCCCAAGTTTTCTTCTCTCGCTGATATCAGAATTTTAAAGAACAATGAAGAGAGGTGTATGTATTTCTGGTGTTAAATCCAAAAGCAAATGCAGACCTGCCTTGAAAATTCCCTGAGCAGGCAAAACCCGCGTGGACATACAAACAAAGCTTCATTTAGCTTGTTTGGCAAGGCTAACTTGACCTGGGTCATTTCTTGCTTTTGCCTCTGGAAATCATACACAAATTTGAACTATTTCCCAAGGCTTATAGGAGGGAACCACTGACCATTTCCATATCTTTGAAGAAAATTCTGATACTGTAACCAATCTGTGTGTGGAATAAAGTCTCTGCTTTCCCACTATATAATCAGGCACCTCTGAGCCTCATTCTGAGCTTCAGTTTGAGTGCTTCCAGTTTGCAAACTGTCTTTCTGCTGTGTGCTCACTGAACTTTCATTAATTACTGCTTTGGTGATTCAGAGGTTTTACCTCTGTTATTTCTGAACTTTTGGCCCTGACATCTATTTTCTTTTCCTGCAGCGAAGTATTGAATTTCTGTCACATGGAAGGTGTGTATAGTTTATTACTCTCCAGTAAATTTTCAGAGTTAATATTTTATCAGATGAAACCAATTTAAATGAGTTTCTTCATTCATATTTAGTATATGACACTTGTACTTGAAATCTGTCCATATGGGGAAATAATGTTCCTTGTTTTACATTTGCACTTACTGGTGACATAACTATCATTGAAGGTGACATGGGAAAAATACTAATCAGGATTCTTTTTTTAGCAAATGCAGAAATGGTCGTGGCATTCTCATTCCAGGTCGCCTTCGTCCCTGTCTGCTCGCCTCCCTCTTTCTCTTCCCTTTATTACATCACCGATTGGTTCCATCTCTCACCCAGCACGTGTGTATTAAACTCCATAGGCCATTGTGATGTCCACTCTGCATGTATCAAAGGGCAGAACTGATGTGGTATCTGCCCCCATGGAGTTTAGGGTCAAGGGTAGATGCCACAACGCAATTAAATCAGTAATTATGATTAATTTTATGAAGCAAAATAACAACAAAAATCAAAGTGCTCTGAGGAACCAACAGGGTCCTGCTGTTGTGAATGAAATTGATGTTTGCTTATTGTGCTCTTCTATGGGGTGACCCCTGCCTTCCTGACACTGAAACAAAAAAATACTTGCTATGTTCTTCATCTAGAGCAAGTGGGCTTCAACCTCATACTGAGCAACCAGGAGCAGGCACTGAGGGAGCATGGAGGGTCTGATTCTCCACCTGCCAGTAGGTTGCTGCTTTGTGGGAAATCCCAAGTGTCCTATGTGAGGAAGCCCTGACTGATCTGCTGTAACACAGTGGTGTCGTATTAATGTCATGGCAGTCAGAAATGTCACTTCTCCGACCTGCCCCTTCTCCAAAATACAGAATTACTCCAGCTTTCCTTTTCATTGATTTATTCCAAGGAGAAATATATTCCTTTGGAATTCCATGTTTTTTTGTGTTTGGAATTTATCACTTTGTAGTAAAATTATGTAATGTGTAGAGGTGTTAACTCTTGCTATGGTAGTGATTGTATTGCAATATGCAAATGCACAAAACCAATACATTGTTCACCTTAAGCTTTCACAATATTATATATCAATTATATCTCAATAAAAAATTTGGTATAAAATTATGACACTCAGTTATTCATAAAGAGAAAAGAAAAAAAAAAAGAGAGAAGAGAGGAAAATAGCCCAGGACATACAAAGACGAGGACCTGATGGTGCCCACGAGAGAGGACTTCCCCCGGGACACATCAGTGTGACAGAATGCACTGAGCTGGGAGTGTGCAGAGGGCACAGAGAAGACTCCCAGCACAGCAGTCAGAGGCAGGTGCCTGGAGAGTCCGTGCTAAGTGCCATTCTCTGAAACGCCAAGCCCTGTGGTTTTGTTAGGTCCAGTCACCTGGGAACTCAGATATAAGGTGTGCAGTGGGAAAGTTTTGACCGGTGAAGGCTATTTCTTGTAAATCCAATTACTAAAGATCTTTTAAAATCTGTTTTTTATTTCTCCAACAGTCATCTAAGAATTTGAAATACACATGAACATACTGACATTTGAACTATTATTCATTTGGGCAGGTTTCTTAGAGTCATACATCATCAGCAAAATAAACAATAAACAAGGAGTCTTCATTCCACTGATGAATAAGATTTAGTTCTGTAACCATTTTTCCTGTGAAAATAGTGTGATAACAGTCAGACAATGGCGATTGTCCTGCTGGACCTCCCCCTTCACCCCAAATCTTCATCTCTCACGTGAGCCTTTCTGTGCGTGAGGTGGCAGCAGTGCCCGGCTCCCTCTCCCGTCCTCTGGCCTAGACGATGTCTCCTGTCCTTATGATGGTACAGTGGGTGGCCGAGCACTCGGTACCTGTCACTGCCCCACAGGAAGGCTGGGCCTTCTGTCTGCTGGTGAGGAGCTCCTCTCAGGGCGTTTGGGCCAACACATCTGTGCTGACGTCGCCTTCCCAGAAGCTCCCATCTTGCCCCTGTCCCCGCCTTGGTGCTCTGCACTGTCATTGATGATTTGCACTCTGTGGGGCAAGAAGACCCCAAAATCACTGGGGTTGAATTTCCTACCAGGTGGGAGCTGTGGTCTCCAAGTCCAAATTAGGTTGACTTATGCAGTAAAAACATACAAATTTCTTGCACACCAAAGTCTGAGCATTTGTTAAAATGTCTGCTGCCCTGTTGCACACACTTCCCCTTTTTCTAAATCTCCCTCCCTCCTTCTGTCCCTCTCTCCCTCCCCTTCTCTCCCTTCCTCCCTCCCTCCCTCCCTCCCTCTCTGCCTCTCTCTTTCTCCCCTGCATTCAGACACTCCTCCTCACAGACAGGTGCTACATTTTTAATCTTCCCAGCATAGAGCAAACCCCATATATGCTTGAACTTTTTCAAAAGGAACACACTTAACCAGCTAGCTTAAGATAACATTGAGCAGTGATTTCCTAATACTGCATTCATTATCATGAAGGCAGTTCATAATCAACAAATGTTCACTGGCAATGCTTCAGCTATACATTTTTTAACAGATTCGGGATATGTCTGCTTATGTATTTGTTCTTTAAATATAAGCATCCCCAGTCTCTAAGGACTTTGATAAAAACAGACAACTGGGAAGTATTTCTTTCCAAAATCCTCTGAGATTAATGGATTGGTAGGAGACCCTGATGCCAAAGGTTCTTGATTTAATTCTAGTGTTAAAATAACTTCTTAGCCTCATTTTCTATATTCACAGAATAAGAATTATAATGTTTGAGACTCAGGATTGTGACAGGTTTTATTCAGTCAGTGCCTTTGGGACGACTGGAGGAATTTGATAGCAGTTTTGGGAGGTGCTTCTCGAGGGTTGGGGTCTTGCCCGGCTCTGTGGGCTGGCAGCAGAGGCCTCACCACAGCACCCCGGGGACAGCCTGTTTCAGGTCTGTGTCTCGGACCCATGGCATTGGCTTGTGCCATGCCCATGGCTGGAAGGACCAGAACCCTCCCCATGCTCTTTGCAGCTGGTCTGGGGAGTCAGTCTGGTTCAGAGCCAGAAGAGGCCCTTAGAGCCAGGCTCATCCGAAAGTGCGCATGCACATGTGATGAGCAGAAAGCCTGGGGTGGGGAGGAGACCAGGCCAGAAATGGATGTTCAGTGCACAGGAAAGAAGAGCTCAGGAATCTGATCAAGCATTAGAGAGAAGGAGAAAGAAGGTGATCTGGACAGAGGAGGAAGAGGAACAGAGCAGCATATACCTCCCGAGCTCCCTTGGCTGCCCGGCATGTCTGCCCTGGCCCACCACGTGTCTGCCTAGCCTATTGGCAAAGTCACACCTGTCTGATGCTAGGTCTCTCAAGATCGTCTCTTGAGGGACGTTCTCCATGCAATGGGCAAGGATTGCATTGTCCCACAGTGAGCTTTACTGTGCGCTGGGTCTCTGGAATTGAAACTGGGTGCGGCTGATGGTAGCTGGGTGGTTTTCCTCTCTGGCTGTGTGTTTGCTCTGCAGAGAGCCAAACAATACCAGTTTCTGATTGGATAGGTCCTGGCCTGGACCCAGGTGTCAGCATTTTTTAAAGCTGCTCAGATGGTTCTGTGCACAGCCAGGCTGGAGAACCGTGGCTGTTGAACTGATGAGTGACTGGTGAGACCCACGGACGTTCCTTCCTTCCCTGTCTGTTCACAGATTACGGCACCATTAAGAAAGTACGGGCACCCCTGACTCAGACCTCAGGCAGCTGTTTGCTGGAGGAGATCGAGCTCTTCCCCCAGAGGCAGGGGGACCCCATCAGGAGCCTGCAGATCCTGCACAGCCAGCGTGTCCTGTTCGCGGGCCTGTGGGAGCACGTGGTCAGAATCCCACTGAAGAGGTGCCAGTTCCACCGCACACGGAGGTAGGGCAGCCCCGAGGTGCCCCATGCGCTGGTGCCCCGCAGAGACACGCCACTCAGAGAGGGTGCAGGGGTCCTTCCAGATCGCGAGCAGCTGCATGGCAATAGGACCTCAGCATACTGTGAGTCCTGTATCCCAGGATGCCGAGAGTTTTGATGCAAACCGATTTACTGTGATGGGAATAACCCAGCAAATATCCTTGGAGGAGAAGCACATAATATACAGATGTTAAAACATCTGTAAGCAGCTATCGGGGTTCAGTTATTCAGTGCATATTATACTTACTGATAATGCTGATAGTTGGCATTCCTGAATTAATCAGGTACAAGTTCATATTTATTTGAATATATATATTTTTCCATTAAATGTCATAAAATATTATATGTAAAGAATATGTCTATTATATTTATACATGTAATATACATTATATGGGGCAGAGGATGATATGAAGCATGCATCATCTCAGCCCAGAGCTCAGCCCCTGAGAAGGAGGGATGTGCCATCCTGTTTGGGGGGGCATCCTCAGTGCCGTCCTCAGCGCCAGCTTCCTTGGGATGGTACATCTCTCCTGCGGCTCCTGGGTCCTTCCGGCTGGCTGGGAGGAGGGAAAGAAGGGAAGTCCTGCAGGCCCAGGGAAACCCAAGTGCTGTCACGCCTTCTCTCAGCCCTAGCCAGTTCTTCTCATCCTCCATGAGGTGTCCACTATTGACCACAGTGGCCTTTCAAGTTGGAAAAATGGGGCTTAGAAAACTGCAAAGTGCTATATATACTCTATGCCTGACCAGCTCTTTAATGTTGGGATATTACATAAATGCTCTGGCCCCTGACAAAAGATTGCTCATGGGGAAATCAAAACCTCAAATGTTCTCAGGTATTAGTGCTCTTATTAATTCTGTTCCCCACAGCAGTGCATGACTGCAGATTTGGTATAGAAATGGACTGTTTGGGTGTACCACTTACCAATGCCATATACAGGTCATTCTTTCTCTAGCAAGGCCCAGTGGCACTAGCTTTGGGGCTCGGAGGCTGGTAGGCACATTACACACTTGCATGTGATATTTCTTGACCTGGTCACTAAGGTGTTTTAGATCTCACTTTTCTCATCTAACACAAACCTAACAGACTGCTACAGAATCAAAAGGGATAATGCATATTGTATAAAATTCAAAGCATTCTACAAAGTGGGTGTTCTTATAAAGAAGGAAGGATTTTATGTACAGTAAAATTCATTACACTTTTCCTTCCTAGATGACTCTAAACAGGGAAGTATATAATACACTGTTCCCTTTGTTATCAGAGTGTTAAAGAATACCATTAGGGGCCTCCCAGATAGTAATAATGCTATTGTGAGCATTAATAACAAGTAGGTATTAACAAGTCTCCACTCTCCAGTGACTATCCTCTATATACATCTTTTTCCTAAAGTTAACCCAGTAGCTGCTTGAAATTTACTCTGATTGGTGATCCCTGCAGGACTAGCCTGGTGCTGGGATGATTCTGCCTGGTTCCTCATGGCTCAGTGGGTGATAGCAGTGTTGGGGTCTTGCCAATAGGCATGTCACAAGTAGAAATGCTGCTAGAGGGGCACCAGTCTAACTTCAGCCTGGTGAGCTCTGAGTTCTAACTAATGTTTTTGGGGGTGTGATACAGGATCACACACAAGAAGACACAGGCCTGTGCTCTATGTAGGGTGTTTCTGATGCCAGAATGGGGGCTTGTGACTTGCAAAGTGTGGGACGATTCTTAACTTAAAGTTAAGTTTGACCTAACTTTTCGTGGTGCTCTGTCTCGTTGTGTCTGGGTTTCAAGAGCTCATCTCCTTGTAGGTGCAGCTTAGAAAATGAAGTCCTGCCTCAGAGCAGGGAAGCCAGGCATCATGCCCACCTGGACTCTTGCTTGGCACTTCAAGCTCATTCACGAATCCATGGGAGCCAGCTGCCAGCAGGCACAGCAGCCCTGGAGGAGTTCACAGTTTCCTCTTTTTCTATGGAGGATAATAAGTCTGAAATGAAAACTTGTCTGTCTTCATCAGGCTCCTGGGCTGAATAGGTTTTACAGTTGTATCCAGAGCTGAATCTCCCTGCTGTTTCCTAGTCCATTCGCTCAGAGAAAAGCAGCGAGAGATTACAACTTTATTGTCAACGGATAGACTGTGGTCTTCTGTGTGCCCACACTCAGAATGGGTTCGTGTTTGACCCCTAAACAGTCCATTTGAGAAAAGAAAAATCTAAAGATTTCGACCCACAAATTTCTCTAAATTCTTTCCATATATTTTTCTGCCATTCTCCTCTGGTGGAAAGACAAGAAAACCTAGTAATTAATATTAACTGGAAAAAGAATCCATTTTTTAAAAACTAATAACTACATACTCAGATTTTTTTTATAATTTGGGGGAATGTTTTTTTTTAACAAAAGCAATTTCAATTTTCCAGAAATATGTCTAAAGAAATACACTAAATAGGAACAAGATAACAGTTGAGTAACAATTGGATAGTAATTTCTTTGTTAAATATGCTTTTCATAGTAGATATGTCATTTCATTTGTTATTAGAAAATCAATTTTATAAATAAATTTTGAAGTGTTTAAGAAGAGAAATTGAGCTTAATAAATGACTATCTCCATCCGAATCATATTCACATTTTCATTTCTTTGAACATGTGTATTCAAAGGCAGCACACAGTCTGATACCTGTTGCGATGTTTATAAATGGTAACAATTTAAACAGTTCCATAAGTTTCTTTTACATATTTGGCACTGTGCTAGGTCTTAAGGAAAGTGGTGATTTTCCTTAATCATTACACCCTCAGAATGAAGTTCCACATCATCTCCATTTTTCAGACAAGGAAATGGGAGCTCAGATTTTTGGTGTCCTGCCAGGGTCACATACCTTGTGCCACGTGAAACCCGAGTCCAGGGCTGGGATTGTCTGCTACATAGCCCAGGCTCTGTCTCTGGGTCACTGTGCTGCCCCTGGCACTATGAGGATGTCACCCTCAGAGGTCCGATTTCAGCAGGGACATGCTGCTTGGTGGCACGTTCCTCGTGTGTTCCTGAGAGCCAGACTAGGTGGCACCGGGACAGGAGGAACCCAGGTCTGTGCTGACAACTAGTCGTGGCCTCTTCCCACCTGTTTCTTCTTTCTTATACTTGCCACCAGGCTAGAGCCAGCAGGCTGGAAGGTTTTAGAGCCCCCTGGTTATGCTAATGTGAGTCTCCACTCTCCAGTGACTTAGAGTGACCCCGGGGCCCCAGGTCAGGAGGGGAAGAGCACATGCATGCCTGCACTGTCTGCGCTCCACACAGGTTGGAATTTGGAACAAACAGCATGGCGGTTTTGATTCCACACAGCTGTTTTTCCCCGGAAAGAACAGTATTTAAACAATATACTTCAGTTAAGTTTGACCTAAAAAAAATAAGAGGTTGTTTTAATTTTAGCCTTTTTTCACACAGTCATTTAATAAATAGTATGGGAAAAGTAGGCAAACAATAAATCCAGCTCATCAGAATGGGTGGTTACCTCTGGGGGCATAAAGGGCAAGGGAAACTTCTGCTGTTTCCTGTATCTCCTTTCTGTACTCTAGGACTGGCTTACCACATGTTCATATTAGTTTCATAAGCTGAATTAAGAGTCACTGAATTTTGAAGGATGTGGACAGCCCTACAGGTCTAGAGTGAATGGGAGTGGAGGGTGGGTAAGCTGACGCCGCCTTATGTGCCCCTGGTCGGGGCTCCCAGTAGCAACGTGAGTTCCTTAAGGTGGGAAAGATCCGTAGGGAGGTACAGGAAGGGGCACAGCCAGGCCACGCCTCTAGTTCCCGCCTGGTGTGAAGTCCAGTGTAAACTCCTCACCTGCCTCCCAGGAAAACAACTCCGGCAGGGAGCAGAGTCCCCATCCCACTGTGCCAGGAAGACAAAAATGGTCCCAGGACGTGGGCTGTCACACTCATGTCCCAAAAGGAGGTTGTTTCGCCTCCCAGGGACATGCTGCAGCCTTCCAGGTGGTCTGACCGGCCGAAGCTCCTCAGTCTAAGGAGGAGGAAGTGGAGGCGGCATGCCTGTGGATATAGACGACAAGGTCATTTTAAGTACTGTGCATTAATTAGTCAGATAGAGTGCTTACTCTGGGCTTCACAGGCAGCTATGCTGCTCCGACTGGGAAGAAGTCTCAGGCTGCAGTGAATGGGGCGGCTGCATCAGCAAGACGACAGGGTCAGGCAGGGAAACAAGGCACTGTGAGGCAGGCCAGTTGTTGGCTCCATAGATACGAGCAGAAGAGGTGTCAGCTATGCCACCCCTTGTCCCAGAGGGTGACCCCAAAGCAGAAAGAGGCAGGTGGCCGTTCAGCGTGAGAACGGGGGTGCTGCAGTGCTGGGGCGCCAGGCCGTGCTTAGCAGTTTGGTGGCCTGCCGTTGTCCCTGAGACAGATGCATGGGCAGAAAGCCTACCCCATTGGAACTGGGGACACTGTGAGATACTCTCCCAGAACACAGGAGGTGGGGTGGGTGGACAGCCTTGGGGCAGCTGCTGATAATGCCCCCAACGGTCCATGGGCAGGCAGGGTTGCACAGCATTCTGCCAAAGCTTAGGTCAGCTGCGGTGAGGCCCTGCCCTGTGCAGAGACATGTACAGTTAACAGGGCGCCAGGGCAGAGAATCCCCTTCACTGAGTTTCAGTAAAACTTCAGGTGGCAGGCTGGATCTGGCCCATGGGCTGTGACTTGCTGACTTGTGAATTAGAATCCTGTCATCTATGCCTTTTGAATGAATCAGTGTACCTTAAATCATTATGTAGACTGATGGATAAAATTAGGTGTTAAATGTATGGAGTTTATTATTCAATTACATTAATTAACTCTATACCTAAATATTTTCTGAATACCATGGCATTCTCTTCTTTTCAGACACTTACCTATCCTTTGTTTTTTTTACTGACACCCAACACAATTTTGAGATAAGCTAAACCTATCAGGTTGTAAAGTTAGCATTTTATAGATGAGGGATG